CTAATTACATCCCAGATCCTAAAACTACTTCCTCGGAAAGCCATTCTATTCCTTACATATATATATAATGCTGTACTCCGATCAACATATTTTCCCGACCCTTGGAAACTATCCATTATCAAAATGATACATAAACCCAAAAAGCCACCAGAATACCCATCCTCTTACCGTCCTATCTCTCTTTTACCCATCATGGGAAAAGTCCTAGAAAAACTCATCCTAAAACGCCTGTACCCAATCCTAGATTCTAATCACATAATCCCAGATCACCAGTTTGGATTCCGCAGATCCCATTCCACTATCCAGCAATGCCATCGTGTGGTGGATGTTGTCTCCTCTGCATTAGAGCGCGGAATGTACTGCACGGGAGTCTTTCTCGATGTAGAACAGGCTTTTGATCGAGTCTGGCACCCGGGATTACTGTACAAACTCTGTAAATTCCTACATCCTACATACTTCCTCATTATCCGTTCCTATCTAACTGATAGATACTCAAAAGTCAATCACAATAATGCTTATTCATCCCTCTTTTCCCAGTCCGCTGGTGTTCCTCAAGGTAGTATCCTTGGTCCTATACTTTACACAGTTTATACAGCTGACATCCCAACCCATCCTAACACTGTTATTACCACATATGCCGATGATACATGTGTCCTATCCGTTAATAATGACCCAACCATTGCATCCCAAACTCTTCAATCGCACATCACAAGCCTTGAAGAATGGTGTAAAAACTGGAGGATTAAAATAAATTCTAATAAATCCCATCAAATCACCTTTACCCTTCGACGTAAACCTATGACCTCATGTCCCACAGTATCCTTTAATAATACCCCACTTATCCCTGTTGAACAAATCCGATACCTTGGACTTCACTTGGACAAACGTCTAACTTGGAATCCTCATACCAGACTGAAACGACAAGAAACCGCTCGACGTTTCCGACTACTCCAACACTTACTAGACAAACGCTCTAAGCTTCCAGTAAATTACAAAAGACTTATATACATGACTACAATAAGACCTATTTGGACTTACGGAGTTGAGCTTTGGGGCTCCACTAAGCCATCAAATTCCTCTCGTATCCAATCCTTACAATCCAAAATCCTTCGGAAAATCCTCAATGCTCCTTACTTTGTCACCAATAAAATAATCCATAATGACCTTAATGTTCCTTATGTTTCCGATTTGGCCCAATCCAGATACCAATCTTTCCATAATAAACTTCAGAACCATCCGAATCCTCTCGTCTCTAACCTTGCTTCCTCTTCTATTCCTGATAACCCTCCGAGGCGTCTGAAAAGAAGATGGCCTCGAGATCTCTTATTGTAAATACATTTTGTTTTTAGAGTGCTACCAGTGGTTAGTTTCTCAACAAGTCATTTCATGTTTTTATTTTCTGTTATCAAATTTACTTAATGTATTTAATTTTTTAATACAGTTGTAAATATCATGTATAAATAAATAAAATAATAAAAATAAAGTTCTCTGTACTAGTTGATTGTTCCTTCTATGTAACCTATAAAACCTTCCAAAATGACCTTAATATTCCATTTATTCTTGATCTTATCCCAGACAAATTTTCCAAATTTCATCAGAATCTTACTCATCATCCTAATCCCGTAGCACAGTCCCTATCTAGCACCACCCATTCCTACAATCCTCCTAGCAGGTTAAAACGGCAGTGGTCCCGTGACATTCTATAACATGCATGTATTGGAGTTCGGGTAAAAAAAAAAATCGCAAAGCCTTTTGTAGAGAAAAGAATGCCTTCTACATTTTCAGATTATTAGGTAATAATAATAATACTAATAAATTTATTTATTGAGAAATTTTACAAATGCCTTTTGGCATATATTGTAAATGTGATGTTCGTTAGCGAACCTCCTCTTCGGGCTTAGCGTGATTGGAGAAGCCTTCCACTGAAGGCACTCCTAACGTGACTCTTAATGGAGCAGATCCCTGCTCCAGAGGCGCTTGAGTCTCCTTGGTGGATTCTGCGGTAGTGTGTCCGTTAGTAATGTTTGTACAAGTGGATTAGGATCTCCAGCTAGGGAGGCATGAAAATTTTTGTAATATTTTACAAATATTACATCAGTCACTTGTGGTGTTTGTAGGTCTTTATGAAGTGATTTATTGGTTATGTAGAATGGACAATGAGTGATATAACGGAGAAATTTTGATTGGAAAATTTGAATAGTCTGTAAGTGTTTTTTTGCATGAACCCCACACCTGAGAGGCATACGTCCATGTTGGTCTGAGTAGCATGTTGTATATAGTAATTTTGTTAGAAAGTGATAGTTTGTTTTTATGGTGTAGCATTCGTCTTAGTAGTGACAATCGATGGTTCAATCTCTTTTTTAATGTAGTCACGTGTGATTTCCACGTCAGTCGTCTGTCCATTGTGAGACCTAGATATTTTGTCTCTGTGTGATTTGGCAAAGGGGTGTTGTAAAGTGTCAGTGGAGGGCAATCCGAACGTTTAAGTGTAAATGTAACCTGATTTGATTTTTTAATGTTACTTTTTATGCGTCATTCATCAAGCCAGTCTTGTAGAAGATTTAAATGAATCTGTGCTTTCTGAGATGCTGTGATCGAATTAGATTTATTATTTATTATCGAATTATGTGATCGTCTGCGTAAGTTGCGAGTAATGTGTCTGGTGCCTGTGGAATATCAGAAGAGTAAATTGAGTACAGAACCGGACCTAAAATACTGCCCTGCGGTACTCCCGCGCCGATTCGGCAATAGTTGGAGTATTTACCAACCTGGTTAACTGATTATTAGGTAGTAATAAAATTCACCAGTTTCAACACCATTCATATCGGACGCCACTTGGGATAATATTGATTATTTTGAATTCTTGTTGCTCTTCTTCAATCGGTCGTTAATAACCTTGACCCTGAACAACTTCCCCACATTTATTTTCTTCATAATTCACTATCTGAAGAGCACAACCAAATTGAAATCCATACCACAAAAATCAGAAATTGCGACTAAGTACTTTTTACTGAGAAAACTTCTAAATAAAAAAAAAATCTTACCATAAGAAAGATTGAGGTTGGTCTCTTTGAGGGCGGTAGAGTACGTGGGAACCTGTTTCAGATTAAGTCATCCAGGTAATATCCTGCGCGTGCAGTGAAACTAAATAGATCACCAATGTCATAAGAATTTCTCCATACTTATTTTAAAACGTCCAAATTATAATATTAAAGTATTGAAATTGATCGTATTTGCACTTGTAATACATTTCATTTATCTTCATTATACTACGTAATTGTAGTACGTAAAGAAGGTTTTTGAATTACATTTTTAACTGAGCTAAAGCTAAAAGATTGCAGCTAACAAATCGTAAATACTACTAAAATAACAAAAGTCCTATTTATTATATCAATGGTTGATTATGGATTGTACGATCCGTTGATTAGGATTGTATTATCCGTTTATTATGGATTGTACGACTATTAGTTATTAAACTGTTATTTTCCATTGACAAGTTTACTAAAATGGAATTTAGAGATTTACATTGTCTGTCATAGACACGTCAAAAGTTGTCACACTAATTGTAAGTGGATACTGTGTTGCGATATCACAAAGGAGAAATTCATCAAATTATTCACTAATTCAAGTTTCTAAAACGTTATATGATGATTTTTCGGAATAAACGGATGATAGATATCTAATTATTTAAAAATAATATTAGATCTAGAGTTAGTAAACTACAGTAAATATATTAAAGGTTATAAACATATCCATGAAATATTATTATATTTTACTTCTTCTTTCACACAAGTACAATGAAATAGTATTTTAAACAATGTCATTGCCGAGATTCCATATTTCTCAAATACATTTTGTTAAACTTAAAAATTTGTTTAAAAGTTTACTTATATTAATATAAAAATTTCATTTAATTTCCTTGAAAACATGTAATTTACGTAATAATATTAGTTTCCAGAAATTACTATTTATATTTTTTTTTTCATTCTCCGTTACCTTTTCATGTTGAACATTGGGCATTTAAGCCCTGTTAAGTGACATCAATAGGTATAAGACATAAATGAAATTAAATACCACATAATAACCCAATGATACTTACTTAATTAATCAAAACAGTTGGACAAGTTTTTGAGAAAATTGTGTTTCACCATTGAAATAAAGTGTTACTTCCGGTTGGTCGATTTTAACGAAAAAGATGCTGTCACATTCAAGGTATGTACCTATCATAAATACGTAATATCAGTTTCGTACGACGTTTTTGAGCTAGACTGTTCACACACACACACACCATTTTGCAAGACTTGGTTATTTGGACTCAGGGAACCTCAAAACGTGTATTTCCGTTTAAAACTCTGCTTCGAAATTTTCGCGATCGCAATACTTTTTAAACAAGCATCACAACAAAATAAAGAAGGAAAATTCAAGTATTATAAAACGTTTAGCTCTTCTCTACTAGAATATATACGATCTAGGAATAGAGATCTATCTGGATCTCATACGGGTTGAGGAATAAACAACCACTTCAACCCACTGATTATCATGGGTTAATCTATATTATCATTCTTATCTATATTGTCATTCATTGCAACTTATAGGTGCGCTCAGGGAGTTGTAGATATGGAGAAAAAAATTCTTTTAAAAAAATGTTTACCTAGAAAAAAATAAATATGTCTGAACTAGGAAATGATTTTTTTTTTATTATTTCTTTATTGAGTAATATAACAATTTGTCTCTCGGACATTTGTTATAGTGAGGTAGGATGACATTCACACTATATGTACAAAAAAATAAAGTAAATAGAACAAAATAATAATCAAAAGTATATGGAATAGATAATAAAATAAAATAGCCCAAAAAATAAGAAAATTAAAACTAAGAAAAAAACAAAAACACACGCATACCTATATACAATCAGGCGAGGGAACTCCAGGAGAACCCTGCGCTACTCTCCCAACCGCTTCACTGGTACTAAAGCCAGCAGAGATTGGTCGAGAGCACAGGAAATGATTAGTAATGTAAGAGTTATTAAAGAGAAAACAAAAAGTTTCTTCTATTGGTGTATTTATTATATTCAGATGATATCAAAAATTGGTATCACAGAACTTGAATAGCGGTCTCAGTTTAGCCCTGGGTCCAATGGAGTCGTGGGTGTTGTTGAAGTAGTCGTTGTAGTTGGACTCGAGGGTCCAGAGGAGCCGCTTGTAGCCGGGCATGACCTGGGTGGAGTAGAAGGGCATGTCGGCCCGCTCCAGCAGGATGAGGGACTTGGGTCTGAACGGCCTGAAGGTGTTCCACATGAACAGCTCCGGCCTGCTCTTCAGCCGCAGGTACATCGTGCTCGCCTTGTCCGTCCCCAGGATCAGCATCGGTCCAGGCTTCATCCCCACCGTCACCACTGAACCGATCAGCCTCCCGGACCTGCACAAGTCATTACATCAAACTTATTATTCAAGCAATAAAAACTATGAGGAAGCTATACTGACAATACTTGGCGTACTTTTTATTTATTATATTCAATAATCAACCTTTGTAAACCACCAAGAAAAAAAAAAGTTAACCCCTCTTCGAATTTGAGGTTTCACTTTTCAAGATTCGAAGAATCCGAAAATATAATTAAAATAATCCGTCTATCTGCTTTACTACTGCACCCATTATTTTGAGATTTTGTATCACTGTCAAAGTATACGCCAAGGCTCTTTTTGTTACTGGCTGATTTCCTAAAAGTTTAAAATCCTGATAGGTATTTATGAAGCTGAACTTAAACACTTGACAAAACTTGTACTATATGTAGTCCTGCTGAAAACTGATACTCTACCAAAGAAAATCTTCCTTCAGTCAAATGTATTGCGTCATTGTACCCATGGAAGTTAACATATCTGTATATCTGGTCAATATATAAAATCTAAAGATATATCGGTATTAAATTATATTAAATTTAAATATCGAAGTTTATAATTAAAAAAAAATTAAAAATGTTTAGAAGGAAAACGCTATCACCGGTTATCACATAAAAATGACTATATTTTCTATATTACACAATACAGGAAAATATTGGTATAATTATTGGTAATGATTTTTTTTGGAGGGGGAGGTGGGAAGAGAGGGGATAGTTTCTAATAAAAATTTGAAATATATTTATAAGTTTAAATCATTATTAATTTTGATTGCTTTGAACAATTTAAATTATTTATTTCTAGTTCTCAGTAATATATCTTTTCAATAATAAAACGTAATGTCTTCGTGCGAGTGTGTGTTCGATATTTACTTCCATAACATTCAGTATAGTTAAAATAAATTCACTTGTCAATAAAATATTAGTCAACCTAGCAATGTGACCTTAGCCCAGATAATTGTTTATAAACAGCTTTCTTCAAAAAAGAACCTCCTTCTCTATATAGTCCTGGCTTCTGGATCTTGTTCCAGTATAAAAATATTTTAAAAATGTTGACAAAAAATATATAAATATAGATAGATATATTTTTTTCGATATTTAAATTCATACTTCTAGCAGCTATCACCAGATCTTCAGCCTTGGCAGAAATCTCACCAATTTACTATGTTTTACTTAGAATAGTCCTATTTTTTCATCTTCTACAACGACCGATACAACTTCTCACAAATCTAGTGTTGCCCGAAATCGGTCAATACCAAGGCCGCCTAACTGTTGCAAGACCAAGACCAGGACTGGTAAAAAAAATCGATTTTTAAAATAAAAATTAAGGCAAAATAGTTACTAATACTTGACAATCTTAGTTACTATATGTTAATAATTTATGTAACCAATATACTTTTGTATTTAACTCCTCTAATTTTTTTCATTCGGGCTTAGTTAGGTTTCTCCTATTTGAAAAAAATACAGTAATATCTCCATATTAATGAGCTAATAAGTAACTGCAAAACTGTTGCAAGACTCTTGCGCAAGACCAAGACTGGGTTTGCAAGACCAAGACTCGTCTCGGTCTCGCATTTGGGCAACACTCCACAATTCCAATAATAAAAAAAAACGTGTATGGCTCAATTTGATATTTAATAAGCTTTTGATTCTGTTTGGCACAGAAGCCTGATATATAAAATTATAGTTAATAAGCATCCAATACTTAAATTTTCTAATAAATAATTCAGAATTAAAAAACATTTAGGCTGGTGATCCACAAGGGACCGATTCTTTTCAACCTTTGTATTCACGATCTGGCAACAATTAAGGTAAAACATGATATGTAAAGTAAGGAGGTTGGGCAGAGTGCATCCATGTTCGGAGCAACCATTAGCGAGCCTTTACATAAAAATGAATGCCTTAATAATCAGAAAGAGACCACGTGGGAGGCTAAAAGCTAGATGGGTTGAAATCAACAATGATGCCGCAGAGCTACGAACAGAAAATTGAAAAACAGTTGCCCAAGATAAGAAGAGGAGAAGAAGGCTGATTCAAGTCGACGGAGATATAGATGTCAGTAAAACCAAGAGGAAAATTTATTCTTAATGTTCACCTTTGGAAGAGTAGGTATATTTTGTAGTTCAATGCCCAAATTTTCATCCGATTTATTGTTTCCAATAGAAAATTTGACCCTCTTACGAAAGCAAATTTATTACATAAGATCTCAGAGATTTCCTCATGGCACATACAGTACAGATTGTATCGTATTTATACAATACATATTTCATATAAATTTATAGGTTTTTTCTTAAGTATTGGATGCACATGGGAATGTAATTAATTCAAGACTGCGGGCTTAGCAATCAAATGTAATAAAAGTGCTCATTGAGAGACAGCCCCGGTTCAATTTCTTTTTTTTTTTTCAAGCAAAAAAAATGTGAATGAATAATCCATATCTTCAATAAAACTAGTTATCATTTGGTTTTCGACATTATTTTTTCCCTTTTTCTCTCTCTAACTACTAACACGTCGTCGCGTCAAGATACAATTTTTAATAATAGCTCATTACAAATAGGATTAAATTATGAACATTTCCCTCGCTAACAATATGCAGGTCCGATTTTTAGTTTTTGAAATATTTTCATGTATATGGAATAGGCGACTTCAGCCGACTTTACCCGAACATTACACATCGCTGATATAACGCCTCAATCTGACACTCTCCACAAATAAAAAAAAAAGTGCAAAACGCGGCTAAAGAAGTTTTCATTTCTATAAAGGTAAGACAGTTGTTAGAATATACTGAAAGTAAACGAGTGATTTGGAAAGTATCGATGTAAAAAAAAAAAAGCAAATGGAAAAAAAGTGTTAGCGAGTTTCAAGCGACGTGATTGGAAAATATTGTTGATTGTAACGGATAAAAAAACCTCGTGATCCTTAATTAAAAGTTGATTCTTGACACAAATAGGCTAAAATAGCCATTCATTAATTTTTTTACCATTCAGTTTATATCACCAGGAAAATATCACTCAATTTTTCATTAGAAAAGTGTTTTTTAATTAATAAATGAAAAATACGCTTCTTTTTTTTATTCTCGCCATCCAATCTTTATTGGTTCTTTTATCCTATTAAAATATGTTTATACCGGTTCATAATATGATGAAGATGACTTATCGGTTCATCCATGTAAAAATTACTCTCCGTCTTTAAAAAGCGAAAATTAAACATAAGTTTTATAGCAAATATAAAATTAAAAACAAAGAAAAAATAACTATTCTTTGTTTTACTTATAACTAGGTGATGTACCCGTCGTTGACAGGTGTATAGTAAAAATATGAGAATCTTTTGAAAAATTTCAGTTTTTTCCCTCTGGATTCTGATCCAGGATCTCTAGACAAATTATTCAAGAATTCATAACTTTGGTTCTGCTCGATGTTTTGTTTTTACTCAAAGCCTGTTTTAAGTCAAACAAACCTAAATATAACGTGAAAATTTCAAAAGTCTACCATTTTCCATTGCTGAGATTCGGTGGCAAAATAACATTGGACGTTGAGTCACCTACATCCGTATAAAACTAGAACTTTACCTGAATATTGTGGAGGGCGGGCTAAAACCTTGGGAGTTTTTTCCAATTTCTGGCTAATCAGTTTGATTAATCCTGAAAGTGTATACGATAGCATTTGTTAGGCTCGGGAAGTTGAATCGAAAGACACCTTGAACGGGAAGATCGGACAAAATTGTAAATTGGTGTGCTTTAAGCGACAACGCGTTACAGATGTTCGGAATTTTGGATCTTTCCATTGAGTTGTGATCATTTTTTCATCAGTTCAATAGTACAACTATTAAATGTTGCTCCCGGTAGAGTTAGCTGGGATGAGAATCGAAGTAACTGCCTTACCGGGATCTCTAGACAAATTACTCAAGAACTCATAACTTTCTAATATAATTTTGTTTTCATTTAAAGCCTATGTTTTAGGTCAAGCAAACCTAAATATAATGTAAAATTTTCAAAAGTCTACCATTAGCCATTGCTGAGAGCATACCCCTGACAAAATTTCTTTGGACAATGCGGACATTTTTTAAAAGTGGATTTGATGTCTGTAATCAGTGAAACGGAAAGACATCATGAAACGGATTGATTCTATTCAATGTACTGACAAATCCTTTATTTTATTTATATAAATAAACAATGTAAATATCCAATGGTGTAAATACTTCTAAATGCTCCTCTTCTTCCCCTTCCCCATTATTTAATTAAATTATTTAAAATGTTCAATTATTACCATCAACGGATTTTGAGCCTCAGTTCAAATTTGTAGAAAAAAAATAAAATTTTTCGATCGCAACAAAATTTCGTTTTCGAGGATCTTTGGAGCTGCGAAATACAAATCTCAACTCTGTTTCTCCTTAAAAAAATATTTCAACACACTTTATTCGTTCCTTCAATACAAATTGTTTAAATTGTACATATTTCTAATAGATTTTCACGATTTTTTTTTTCTGTTTTGTAGGTAATTTAGAAATATTTCTAATTATCAAGGGTACAATCAAGAAAAAAATGCATACTTTTTGAGTTATCCGCAAATAAAGTTTCTTTTCCTTCATACATTTTTTTTTTTAGAAATTTCTGGAGGATAGGACTATTTTTCGCATGTGGAGGAGATAATATCTTCAAAATGAATGGTCAATCATTGGATTTGACGAATTTATGGCGTACCGACAAAAAACATCTTTTAGAAATAATATATAGGATAGAAAAGCTGTACTGAGATAGTCGTCATGGCAACGACTTCACTTTTCATTTTGATGTTTTTGACTGCCTTAACTAAAACATTCATAACTCCTCAGAATTTTATCCTAATTCAATGTTTCGACAACCTTTGGAGAACTGAATATTCGCTCTTCAAGACTATATAAATAACTTTTTGATTTAAACCGTCTATAAAGAGAAAATAAATAAAAAGTCCTAATAGGTTTTATTTTATAACTTGAGTTCTAAATTATTTAGTAAAGTACAGTTTATGTCATTTCGTGTAGTTTATAAGGCTCTATATCTCTTCAAAATTTCGTGTGAATATTTGGAGGAATATTGAAGCTATAATACTTTTTGTGATTTTCGAAATTTGTAGAAAAAAAATTATTTTTCGATCGCAATGAAAATTCGTATTCGAGGGTCTTCAGAGCTGTGAAATACAAATCTCAAGTCTGTTTATCCTTAAAAAAATATTTCAACATACTTCCATCAATACAAATTGTTTAAATTATATATATTTCTGATCGATGTTTATGATTTTGTTTTGTTTTGTAGGTAATTTAGTAATCTTTCTAATTATCAAGGGTACAATCAAGAAAAAAATGCTTACTTTGTTAGTTATTCGCAAATAAAGTTTCTTTTCCTTCATAACTTTTTTTCCAGACTATTATAGGACTATTTTTCGCATGCGAAGGAGAAAAATATCTTCAAAATGAATGATCAATCATTGGACTTGATGAAGAAATGGCGAAGTTCTGGCAAAAAAACGCCTATTAGAAATAATATATAGGATAGTATTTCCTACGGGAAAATAGATGATTGCACTGTATCGGAGATCAATGGTGAGGACTTTTCATGGACATGGACATAACATTTGTAAATGGTGTCAGATTAATTTGACATTTAGTAGCAATTTGTTTTAAAGGCCAAGGAAAGCGAATATGATGTCAAAGTGGATAAAATTCCACGAATAACAAACGAAATTTCGGTTTTTCCTTTTAAACCTGTATAATAAATTAACTACGAACATGATCAGGCCTCTCAAAACTCCTTAAAACGCTTAATTTTATAAAACCTACCAAGTATATATTACTACTTATAATCGTTACTTTACTTCATTTTTTTATTTTATTTTAAATTTAAAGCATAAAATATAACTATGATAATATAAAAATATTAAACAATACTTACATTTCGAATATTTAGAGTAGAAGCGATAAAAAAACCAATATAATAAATAATTATTATCTTTTTTTCCAATAAATGAAAATGTAACAATTTAAAAAGAAATATAGTGAAAAAATTTATTTTGGAATTCATTCTCCTTAATCTCTTAGAATCATTTCATTCAACTTAAGAGAAGGTTGATCTTCGTTTTTTAGCTTTTTTAGCCAACCTGCGACGACCATTACGGGACATTTTAATCTTTGGATGCCTAATCTAAGACAAAGGTTCTTAGAATAATCTAGATTTTAGTAAAAAGTTTGCAAAAAAATAAATCGCGAATTTATTCTGAAAAAAATTCTGAGGCAAATGTAAACAACTTCTCACCAAGCAACCCACGGACAAGCCTTGGCATGTTGTCATGTTCTTATACCCTCATTCTGCCTACTTCAAACAACTGAGCCCTAGTGGCTCTTCATACTTATTAATAGACTTAGTTACATAATTTTAATTCCAATTCATTATTAAATTTTACATCGACATACCTGATATTACAAGTTCTTATGTAGAACATGTTAGTCCCATGGAGATAGGTGAAGTATAGGATCGGGCCAGTCTCGTCCCTCCTGATAAGGCTGATGTAGAGGACGTCCTTCGTCAGCGGGTAATCGGTCGAGTCCCGGGGAAGTGCCACCTACTTCCAGACTGAATCTATATTATCATTTACCTAATTATGTAACATGATATTATTATAATTTGCTTCATTTTCAGATAATTCATCTCTTTTCAAATCGTATTAACTTAGATCTAGGCATTTCAGAAAAAAAATGTTTCAAGCAAATACTTTTTCCTACCAACCTTGAACCCCCTGGTTTCCTCCCCGTTCCAGACTACCAAGGCGCAAGTTCCAGCGTCGCTTATGTAGACGAATGTTTGCCCATCCTCTGTGTTTTCCACTTCCATAAACTGTAGGCGTGAATCAGCGCATACCAAGTTAGTGAAACCGTTCCTGCTTAACATCTGTAAATTTTTCTGATTTATTATTTAACTAATAAGTATATGGTGAATTGAATATGAAAAGTAGTTATGCTCATAAATCAGTAGTTGAAACTGTTATAGAACTTTTTTAAAAAGTTCCATTTTAACAGTTTCTGAGAAACCTTTTTATGAAAAATGTTCTTAAAATAAAAGTCTAACTGTTATATATTCACTTCTCAAAAAAAAGGTTCATAAAATGGATAACAATCAGTTATTGGACATAGATCAAACTTATAATTTGTCTCTGTTCGAAGTTTAAAATAGCTCATATATATAATTTTTGAGTTATTCGCAAATAAAGTTTCTTTTCCTTCATAACTTTTTCTCCAGAAATTTCAAAGGGATACAACTATTTTTCGCATGTGAAGGAGAAGAATATCTTCAAAATGAATGGCCAATCATTGGATTTGACGAAGTTATGGAGTACCAGCAAAAAAACATCTTTTAGAAATAATATACAGGATAGAAGAGCTGTGCTGAGATAGTCGTCATGGCGACGACTTCACTTTTCATTTTGATGTTTTTGCCCGCCCTTAACTAAAACATTCATAACTCCTCAGGATTTTAACCTAATTCAATGTTTCTACAACCTTTGAAAAACTGATTTATCGCTCTTCAAGTCCGTATAAATAACTTTTTGATTTAAACCGTCTATAAAGAGTAAATAAATAAAAACTCCTAAAAAGTTTTTATTTTATAACTTGAGTTCTAAATTATTTAGGGAGGTACAGTTTGCGTCATTTTGTTTAGTTTATAAGGCACTATATCCTTTTAAGATAAAAGTCTAACTGTTATATATTCACTTCTCAAAAAAAGGTTCATTAAATGGATAACAATCTGTTATTGGGCTTAGATCAAACTTATAATTTGTCTCTGATCGAAGTTTAAAATATATAAGAGTTTGGTTTCAAAACCACTTATATCCACTTTTAAAATAAAAAACTATTGTCATAATTTTTTAAAGATAGAAATTTTTGTTAGGTGTGTTTGTTTCAAATCCATCCAGATCCTACAAAAATCAAAACCAAAAGAATCGGTTTCCTATCAAACAACTTTTGTTACTGATAGTTAACATTCTTTATCTTTGTCTGAAATGGTTTGGGTATTTTAGATGGTTTAGTTAAATTTAAATGGTTCGAGAATTTTAGATGGTTTGAGTGCGAAATCCTTTCTTTAAATATTTTCCCTACTTTTAAACCTTTCATAATGGAAAAAAAATCGGAAATTTAATTATTTCAATCTAGAAAAGGCAGAGACATACAGAATCTAGGAAAATTTCAAGATATCAATGGAAATCTGTATGTATAAAAAATTAAAACATAAAAATTTGTATGTTTATATCTTGTTAAAAGTAATTTGTTTTGTAAAATGTCTTTTTTTTTTAACAAAAAAAACAGAAATATATATTTTCTAATCAAATTCAGGCACATCCAACATATGTCTTTATATTAAATAGGATTTAATAAAAAGAGAAGATCACAAAAAGTTGTCAACAATGTTTATTTAAATTGATTTTTTACCAATGAAGAAAAAAAATTGCTGAATTGAATTTTGTTTTTATTAAAATCTTTTTTAATCAGTCCTGAAAATGGACTAACCATCTTATATATATATATATATATATATATATATATATATATAAATGTTAAATTTGGGCTAGTTCAAAAGTACAGAATAGGATTTAAATATAGTTTCAATAACAAGTAACTTTTATAATTACGAATTAGATATTTAAAAAAACGTTCAAAAAAGATAACAGCTAAGATATGTTTTTTTTATTTTAAAGTAAGAAATAAATCCATGGAAGGGATACCGCTGGGTATTGCTATTCCTCATGCCTATCAAATCTTTTTTATTTATTTATTTTTTTTTTATCATTTTTATTTATTGTTTTTTTTCTATCTCATTACTACGCCAGCACATCTGCTGATTGCCAATAGTTGTAATTGAAAAGTGCAGATAAATATATGAAAGTACAAAAAAAAAATAAGTGAAAATGATATCAAGCCTTATCTTATTTACTGAATCATCATATATATATATATAATTATTATTGCATATATATATATATATTCGTTAACTCAAATTAATAATAAAATTAGCTTATCCGCGATTTATAAACTATTTTGAAACAGGTAGAGAAATATCTGTCGCAAAGTCGGGCACAAAGAAATACCTGCTCAGACAAATTAGGGCTCCAATTCTAATTAAATGCCAAAAAAAAAGAACATTGGAACTACTAATTAGAGCATGTGCCTTCCATTTTAGTAAGCCCCTCCGCACTGCATCACTCAATTAAAATAAGATGTGTAAACTCCAGAAATTTGAAATCAGAACTGTCAATAATGAAATGATAGCCTTGCCATTTTTATTTGCCACGACACAGTTTAATCATTAATAAATCTACTATATAAAAAAAATACCACTGTAATTCTTTCATACCTGTTAAAACTTGAAATTATATTTTAATTACATGTTATTGGTTTAAAGTAACATCTGTCAGAATCTTGAAAAAAAAAAAAAAAAGGTGTTCACCTTCAGGTAGACTTAAAATTTTCTGTTAATCATGATATAAATATTTCTAGGTCATATAAAAAGGTAGTACGGTTTGTTTCACGTTCGAAAAAACTACGATCAATAAATTAAAACAAAATGAAACTCATGTTTGTTTGGGAATTCTATTCTGATAATTGAGGTACTCGGTCGTCAAATATGGTCCTGACATTATGTCTAAAATGATGATTTTTGATAAAATCGGCTTTGCTTTCCTTAATGCTGATTGCACAGATTGTTGAGTTCATTTTTATTTCTTTACTTGAAGCAAATCTTGTCCTAAGATATGGTAAGTTACTGCTGATTGAAAACAGTTATTGTTGAAAAAAAAGAAAAGTAAATTTTATTCTGGAACATCATAAGAATAATTGCAATGAACAATTTAGTGACGTTTGTCTGGTATATGAAATTGATCATCTTCTTGTTGTTAATTGAATCACATTGCTATCGAGTGTTGAGATTAAATGAAAAAAGGCATAAGATAACATTTAAATTATAAATAAATACATATGTATTAGTTTGTACCTTGAGATAGTTTTCAGACAGTTTTGTTAGTAACCATGGTGCAACGGTCAAAAGTTATCTTTAGCGTATCCTCCACTTTGTCCAGCTAAATCAAGCATGGTCTTCATCTACCACGTATTCCACCATGTTGGTGATCAAGCAGTTGTTTAGGTATACGTGTCTTATTGAACCAACCGTCTATTTTGGATTACTTTCAGAATTAAGACCTAATCTCGACGCAAATGGTTCGAATACTCCACTACCCATATCAGCCCTCCAAGCCACACATCCCGAAGAGAATCCTGCTCTTCCATGTCAATAGCTTTCTTTCAATGCAACAATCGATGCAACTATTGACAATGCAATCGATAAGCAACTATTTACTAGACCAACGGTGCTACAAGACGATTGAAGAACCCCAGTAGTATTGCCCAAAATCGGTCTTGGTCTTGATCTAACCCACCAAGAGTAAAACCAAGACCGCTTAATTATTGCAAGACCAAGAATGGTAGAAAAAAGTTTTTTTTTAATCAAAACTTAAGGCAAAATAGTTACTAAATACCAGAAAATTTTAGTTACTACATGCAAAGAATTGGTAGAACCAATATACTGTTTCATTTAACTCTTCCAATATTTCAAAAGGGGTTTAGTTAAGTTTCCTCATTCTGAAAAATGACAGTAATGTCTCTAATAGTGTGTAGTGGTAACATTTTTAAAAGGTTATTAAATTTCTGACGAAATAATAAACAATCGTCTAAATCGGACCAGTTTCAGAAATGTTATAGTGTATTGAATTTTATTCACTGATTTTAATAATTGTTAAGTTGTCCGTTTGAATTGCTTTAATCTATCAAAGAAACCGTACTCTAATGATTTCTGTGATCGGTTAAAAATTAGTCTAATTCAATTGTGTTATTTTTAATTTTATTTTTGTTATTATTTTTAAACACATTTAAAATTGAGAAAAACAAATGTGTAAAATCGGTAAGACATTTGAGTGGACACACCAGATTTTAATTTTATTAATTGGTGCATTGTATACAATTTCTTTAATCCATAACTTTTCTATTCCAGAGTGGGGGCCTATCAATATATTTTTGGACAATGCCTTTAATTTATTGCCAAGTTAAGTTTATTAATTTGGTTGGGCTTTATTAATGTCAATAAAACATCTAAAAGTGGCTATTATGTAGCTTTTTTCTAAGATCTAATTCTAAAAAGTAACGTGTTTAATAAATAGCAATAAGCTAATAGGTAACTGTAAGACTCTTGCGCAAGACCAAGACTCGTCTTGCATTTGGGCAACACTAACCCCCAGTGTGCTGCATCCCCCAGTTTGAAAATCTTGACGTAAAGAGACATTTACATATAGGCTATGAATTCATTGTCCTCTTTCATAAATGAAGAAACTAAGCTACTCTATCCAAATAGCACTATAAGTATTAATTTTGAAATATGAAGTGAATGTAAAGTTGTTTTTCCTGGATTATTATTAATGTTTAAGCTTAACTAAACGAAATTTCATAACAGGTTAGAGAGACTGACCGCCAAGAGATGAATAATAATGATCCCGTTTCCTTACGATAATTTATTTTGTCCTAGATTGCTGATCGAGTTGAACCTTGCAACGCACGTGGATTCAATTGGACTGCTTGTTCTACCTTCTGTGAACAACTTTCACATTTTTAAATATTTTACCGTCATTATCAATACTTTTTTCTATTCTGATTTTAGTTAATTTTGTATTGTACTGTATACCTTCCATTGGTTGCTATTTTTTCTTGTCAGAGCTTCAATTTGATTCCATATTTTGAATGCCTTAAATAAAAATTGATTCAATCCCTGCTTATCCAAGACCAAGCAGTCGCTATATTTATTCAATTAAGCCAAGTCCTAAGTGCATAAAAAAAAAAAATATCTTGTTAACGAGTTAAGCTTTCAGCAATAAATCTTTTTAATCTTTAATGTTTTTAGTGCTTTATTATTTTTTTAATAAAAGTCAATAATGAATCATTGACACCAGTATTTTATTAAATTTTTTGCAATCTATAGAACATTAGTTATTTTCCTAATAACAGCGTAGTGGGGAAACAAAGAACAAAAACGAATAGTAAATTAAGATCATGTATGAAATATATTATTTCAATTCACATGTAAGTTTAGTGGAAGAACTTCCTTTGGAAAAATATAAGACCTGATGGCCGAGCGCGTAAGTGTCCCAGAGTGACCAATTCTGTGGGTTTTATCCCGGCTAGGTTCATTTAATATTTATTTTTCTGCGGCTGTGAATAGAAATTGATTTATATATTTATTTATTAATTCTTGGTTTTGCTTCCTCACTACCCAAATCCTCTTGCGCAATCCCTATCAAGCACCTCCCATCCCTATAATCCTCCAAGAAGGTTGAAACGGCAGTGGCCTTTTGTAGATTATATAATTAGAGTTCTGGCAATGGCCAGATTCTTCACTCAAGACATGAGTGTATGTGGCTAAAGTGATCTTGATCAATCTCCGCTGGCTTTAGTACCAGTGACGCGGTTGGGAGAGTAGCGCAGGGTTCTCCCGGAGTTCCCTCGCCTGATTGTATATAGGTTGCAGGTGTTTTTGTTTATTTTTGGCTTAGTTTTAATTTTCTTATTTTTTAGGTTATTTTATTTTATTATCTATTGTATATATTTTTGATTATTATTTTGTTTCTATTTATTTTATTTTTTTTGTACTTATAGTGAGAATGTCATCCTACCTCACTATAACCAATGTCCAAGAGACAGATTGTTATAATACTCAATAGAGAAATAAAAAAAAATTCTTAGTTTTGCTTCCTCACTACAGAAGGGAAGCATTGTGTTCGTGCGAGCGGCTCAAAACAAATTTGTGTTCAGAATCGAAAATTTCCATTCGCGTTTTACATTTTATACATCAGGGATCAAATTTGGTTTGGTGTCTGTCTGTCTATCTGTCTGTCTGTAAAATAATAATAATTTTAAAAAATCTTCTTTGTGATTGTGTTTATTTCTATTGAAGTTCAACCAGCTCGTTCTGGTATCGAGTTCATGTGTGATTTTTATATTCCCGCTTAAACAGTTTTATTCTGACTGAAGAAAAGTATTGGTCTCATGAAATTTTTGTAACATCGATTTTACGAGTGAAAAAATGACGATTAAGTACATATTACTACTGTTAGTGCAAAAGGTCGTAACCATTCTGCTACGATGAAAAATAACAGAGGGCAATAAATTATGAAATTATACTAATAAATCATAAAGAAATAATTTGCATTAGTTCTCATGCACTTCTGTAAAACATTCAATTTTTAAAGACGGTCTTTTGCACTAACAGTAGTGATATTAATGATCAGTAGGCACTCGATTTTTTTTTATAATCCCGAGTCATCAAATATGAATCCGAAAATTTTCACATTTTAGTATTCTCTGATGAACAAGACTCGGAGATATCAAACCCGTGATATATCGATTATACTAATCAGTGATTCAGTTGTATTAACCTAACAGTGTTATATTTTATGATGAATAAAATAGTTGTGTTTACTAATAGTGTAGTTTTGTGCTTTAGTATTGCAAATGCTTAACATTTACTTAACTATTTAAGCTAAAATCATTTACCTGAAAGTTGATACAACGAGATGATTCATTTCTTAAGAAGGATTGGCACTGCTTAAGTTCCACGTCATTACTCACATTTGGTTTCAGAATGTCAAATTTCGTTTTAAAACCCATATATGTTGAGGAATTACTGAATTTCCGAAAAAGGCTTCCTCCAGAGATTTTATTCTCATACGAATAATTTTAGACCTGGTAATATAAATATTTTTTGGCCAATGCAAACGGTGAGGAAGCTATACTGACCTTCCTTGGCAGACTTTTTTTTTTTGTCTTCACCTTTCAAACTATACGGGGCTTTTCCGAGCCAGAGGAACATTAATGCCAGAGCTAACCCCCCGCCCCCCCCCCTGGCACCGGGACGCGAAATCGTAACTATTTTATCTAATTACCTTCCACCAGGTTGCCAAGCAACATGGTACTGTGGCACACGCTCGTTCCCTGCGATATTAATTATAATAATACCACTGGTTAGAACTGAGTAGCAGCCTCTGTCTAGCCGTCAAGAGTTGGCTAAAAGGAACACAAGGCCAGCTACCCCAACTGGTCCCCCTCCCTCCACCCCGCCCCACTAGTTGATTTATTAGAATTAGTAGGCAAAAAAAAAAAGTAATAGACCTCCAATTTTATTTAGAAATTGGAACTCTGACCTATTGTTTGAACTGATCTCCAGTACTATTATGGTTAATACACTGAATATCATTCCTAACCTCCGTTCTACCATTTATCATTTCATTTGTGATCTCTACATAAAATCGTTTTTATATACTACATAAAAATATCTGATTACAGAATTATGCCAGTTATTTACAATTACAGTTATTTACATCTGATTACAATAATTACAGTTATTTTATCTATGCCCATAATAATTATTGGTTCACTAATACTTAATTCCAATATCACTGCACACGATAGATCAAAATGTCGGAATACATTGAAATAGTAGGTACCTATACCATAAATCCACTGTTCTTTATTCATTTGATTTGAAATCAATCTAAGATGAAATTTTATAAAAATACAACCGGTAATGAACTGTAGACCATACCTTACCACTAATCGGGCAGAATGAGACCAATCTTGGAGCAGAATAAATCACAGGATTCTCACAGAGGGAGCTCATGATCCCGGAGTCGAGAGCCCAGAGGACGGACTTCTCGTCGACCTGGAGGTCGATGACGCTCACCATGGACCATGGCTCAGTGGCGTTGTTCAGCTCCCAGTTGGGAAATGCGTACATCATCGGCTCTTCTCGGCAATAGTCGGTCATATTCATCGCCATCAGGGTAGCCGCCACACCGCACCGAAACCTAAGCACATCACCACACGTTATATTCGTACAAAATGGCGGTTAAAAACTTAGAAATCCTAACATTTTTTCTGTTAATGATACACTGTAACTGCCTAACAATTCACTGATGTTGATTGACTTATCCAAAAACTATAACTCGTTTCCTTGTTATGTATCATCAGAAGTATCACGGCAGTTTAATTTGTTCGGGAACGGTCATCATTTTTTTTTCGGTTGGTACAACAGACCATGAAAATCTTTTACCACGAGAAGTGATCTTACGGTGAATTATTTTTGCTGGAGAACAGATAACCGGCTGGAGGAGATCACTCAGCAAGGCAATGTGCGTCCCACTGATCAATTCAATTTCAGCGGCAGTGAATATCTCCACCAGACCACTAATAGCTTAGAGCCACGCATAATGCCTCTTCAGGGTCAGGAAAAGCAAACTCCTATATATATTTCTATGAAACAGTCCTATATATGGACCAAGCATCTGGGTGACTACATATTTGCCATTTTAGATTACCATAGCGTATCTCCTGATTACAGTACAGGGACAGGATCATCATTCGGTATGTAGGTGTTTGTGTGTGTGTATGTATGTATGTATATATATATATATATATATATATATATATATATATATATATATATATATATATATATATATATATATATATATATATCTTTTTTTTTTTCGGTTGGCTCTACAGATCTTGTAGATCTTTTCACAAATCACATCCCGATTCCTGATTTAAGTACACGGGGGTAGGGTCATCAGTCCTACGCCCGGTCTGTGTGAGTTGCCTTCAGTAGGCTGACAGACCGGAGGGAAGGGTTCTCGGGTAGCGTGGCTTTGACTGGTGACCGGTCACCCATCCAAGTGCTAACCACGCTCGGCGTTGCTAAATTTTGTTACCAATTGCAAGCGCCTTAGCCCGCACGGCTACCTCAGCCCCTATATATATATATATTATATATATATATATATATATATATATATATATATATATATATATATATAGAGAGAGAGAGAGAGAGAGAGAGAGAGAGAGAGAGAGATAGTGACTTAGAGAGAAATATAGATAGTTGCAGGTCGTGATAGCTGAGTGTGTTAATGCGTTAACCTTAACACTTTTTAGTCTTACAATGTGCAATTCGGCCTGAGTAGGTTAAAATTTATTTCTTGGAAGATCCACGAAATGAAACTTGATCTTTCAACTTTGGTCATATATGTTTGTTCGTAGCGCTAGAACAATCCCCTGCCCTTTCCTTTTCCCCAGTATGGCAGAAATTACGACTTAGAAGGTAATAGAAAAAACAAAAACACATACGTCTGTGTGTGTGTGTTTGTAGAAAATTCGTTGACATACCTGTAGTAAAAGTACGTAACTCGAGATAACTAAAGTTTCCAATACCTTGGGAAAGCAACGAAACCAATTTCCTTGTACATCTGCACCCTGGTGGCCAGCATGTCCCTCGGAGAGTACATGCCTCCGCAGTACATCATGTGGAAGTGTTCTTCGCACTCCCAGGCTAACTCAATGCCGTTTGGGTACATCGTCATGGCGCAAACCATTTCTCTGGTGTAATCTGCCAAAGACATCGGCAGCAGAACTACCTGTAAGGATGATCATCAACACTTTCATTATCAACACTATTATTTTATTTGCAAGATTTTCTACTTGTTTACAAAATGAATATTGCTACAGGGTGTCTATTTCTTTAATGTACCTAATAATGTTGTGAAAATCCTCGAGCTGTATTCGTTATCGCTTCATAGTTCAACTACCTCTTCAAGGATGCAAGATGATGCTAAGAGATATTAAACTAGACAATTTTAGAAAATTCTAAATGTAAATGTTTAGTAGTAATTTGATTTCGCGGAACCATTTTAAGATAACTGGGAATAGTTATCTTAGTACGATAAGATGAATATTTAAAGTAAACATCTTTTGAACTTGGGAAGAGGCAAGGGTTCCTGCTCCTAGCATACTTCGACTAAACAATTACAAACCTATAAACATTTAAATTCAGTAGATGTGATATTTTCATCCTTTATGCTTACATTGAAAGCACCACACGTAGTACATCACGGTCCTTTGAGTATTGTTACGCAGTTGAGAATATCAAAAAAATACTAAAAATAACACTAAAATACTGACCCGTTACTAAATAAAATGTGTTTTTTCAATTTTCAAAAAGCTTTGTAGCGCTATTTTAAGCAAACCCTACCCTACCGTAGGTACCCGACTACTGCAACAAGTTTAAATATTCGTAGATGTCAATTTCCTTGTCAATCTACCAAGGTGTTTAAGTAGATATTGAAGTACATTCTCTTAAGGTGGAGAGAATTTCCCATTTTCTGTAGTCGTTTTTTTTTTAATTCAAATATTTTTTTACGTTATATATTTTTAGCTGAAAAAGTTCTAGAAATGTACCAATGCTATGAAGGCCTCTCTCCACTGTGTTCAATCTAAACAAATACGTTATATATTCAAGTGTATTTTTTTTTTTTTTTGTAGGTATTTTCAAGTATATATACAAGTAAAACAAAAAAAATTAATAAATAAAAATTCTTCATTGATACAAACATATAAACAAATTAATTTTAAACATTTAATATTATATTTCTTCGTTTCACAACAATTATGTTGAATTTTAACACATAACAAAAACTGCCACCATTTTTTTGTTTTTTTTTTTTTGGTCGTTCACCCCCTTCCTCTCCCCAATCAAAATCGAAAGTTTGCACCTATGGTTAGAAGATAGAGAAACTATTAGGTATGTTAGAAACAGAAATAGAATAAAGCTTATGAAATAGTTATGGAATAGAAATATGAATTAAATTTTATGGACTTGAAAATAGGCGAATATGGACTGTATCCTCGTTAAATGCTTATATGAATTGAACTGTAACAAAGTAATTTTAATAAAAATCTGCTGATTGTTATTAGTCGCCGACATGTGCAAGATGTTGAGAGATAAAAATAAAATAAAAAGAGTTTATAATATTCCTCGTTAAAGGAAATTACATTTATATTGAATTAATTAAATAACAAAAAACGTACGAGGAAGTAAGGTAGGACTATTGTAAAAAAAAAAGTCTTCCAATAAGATCAGTATAGCTTCCTCATCGTTTCACTAGCTAAAATATATCTATATTACAAGGTGTACAATTTTTCGTATGAAAATAAAATCTATGGGAGAAGCCGATTCGGAAATACAGTTATACTTTAGCATTCGCGGGTTTCATATCCATGAATTCCGATTATCAGCTAATATTAAAATGCGAAAGAGTGCCATATTTGAAGATTCCATATTGATTATTCTTAAAACAAAATACCAATGCATACTGAACATGCATTTCAAAAGATCGTACGTAAAAACTCATTATTTATTTATGCCTTATTGGTATAATTTCATATTTTATTTTCCTCTGCTATTTTCCATCGTAGCACAAATAAAATAAAAGTTAAAAAATTTGTACTACTAGTAGTGATATACACAGGCGGGTTTACGGGGGGGGGGGAGGCTTTCGGGATGAAGGTCCCCTCCCAAAATAGTAAAATATAACCATGTTTTACAGAAAAAATATAAAAAACTGTCTCTTAAACTATTATTGTTCGTTTATTACATTTAATAGGATTTCAAGAATCACTAAAACATCATGACATATGGGTAGTTAATATCTTTCTTTTTTTTCAAATTAATTATTGTCATATATGTATGTATGTATGTATGTATATATATATATATATATATATATATATATATATATATATATATATATATATATATATATATATATATATATATATATATATATATAAATCCTTCGGGCTGAAGCCCCCAAAAATTAAATCCTGGATCCGCTAGTGGTGATATATACTTAATCGGTACGTTTTCTGTTCGTTAAATGGATGGCACTAGAAAATCAATACTAAAAATTCAACTTGTTGTTTGTTCGGAGTTAACGAGACCAATACTTTTCATCAGTGAGACCAAAACTAATTAAGCTTGAATATAAAAATATGGGTGAAGTTCACACATCTTCGATATTTAAGGAGGAAATCGAGATCAAGATTAACTGATTGAACTTCAATGAAAATAAACACAATCACAAATAAGACTTTTTATTTTACAAATTCAGAGTAAAAAATACTTTAAATTTACTGAAAATTGCACGAAATCAAAGTGCGGCAGTAAGTGTCACGCCAGTAATGTTTGCAATCGACTAAAAAATACAGTATTAATTAATTTTTTGAATAAAAGAATATTGTCATAACCTAACTCCTACACCATATGATCAGTGCCTTGAACATTTCACAGCCATTATATTGTTAACAATTATTTATATTAATTGTAATTATTAAATAGAATTCAATGAAATTGATACTAAGTAGTTTCTATACTATTCTACAAATTACTTCCAAATTTGAGTCAAATCGAATGAACCGTTTTCAAACTATAGGCATATCAAATAACACATTTCCTTATATAAAAGCAGAAATTTTTTTTTTTTTGGAGTATTAGATAGAATTTGATAAAACTGATACCTATTTTACGTTTACCAATCTCTAAATTCCCTCAAAATTTGAGCAAAATCGAAGTTACGGTTTTAGAGATATAGACGTATCAAGGAAAACACGTTGGAGTATATATAAGAGAAAGCAATGGACAGAATTCAATAAAATTGACCCTACATTATTTTTTCACAAATGCCTATCTTTTGTCTAACTTTGAACCAAATCGAACCAGCAGTTTCTGAAATATTGGTATATATACAAAACTGCGTTTGCGCGAGCGTAAGCGGAAGTGCTGGTTAAAATTTAATAAAATTCATATGGGACCATCTAGACACCAACCCGCACAATTCCAGAAAATTTCAGAAAATCGGATAAACGGTTGTAGGTGATACATCCGTTACATTTGACTACAGACAGACACCGAACCAAATTTGCTCCTTGATGTCTGAAACGTAAAACGCGAGTGAAAATTTTCGATTCTGGGCACAAATTTTTTTCAATCTCTCGCAGGAATAGAATGCTTCCCGACCGTTCGGTAGTGAGGAAGCAAAAATGAAAAATAAAATAGTGGAAATATTAGAAAAAAAGAAATAGTACCAGCAACAGGTTTTATTAGTATTTCAACATATTGAATGAAACTCTTAATTATGAAATGAAGTCTGATTTCATCACCTGAATTAAAGTGCTCTATTTTAGATAACTGTCTCAAGACTTTTCTGGAGTACTTTTTAATTAAAAACTAATTTTGAATTGTATCATTCCAATGGACGATGAATATATGAAATTCATAAATGTGTCGAATATTGAACATATCGAAATTGAAATCAAACTTTCACGATTTACAGCTTTTCTATAACTGAAACGTGATAATAAAAATAGATAAAGAGAATCGTAGATAGAAAATGAGACAATAGAAAACAATTGTAATTTTCTATCTTTATTGCGTAAAATTCTTATATAACGACATTTTGTCCAGAAAATAGGCTGAAATGCTTCAAATATCAATGATGAGGTTTGTTTCACCATTTGACAGAGTAAGTTTTAACGCTTCCATAAGTCAGAGAAAAATAAAATTTAATTAGTTATTATGTATATATGGGAGTGGGGTAGCTGAGTGATAAGGCGCTAAGCATCTAATTCGCATGGTCCCATGTTCGAATCCCGGCTCACGGCAGAAACATTATTTATACTGTTTCATCGGCCGTGGGGCGACCCTGTGGTCGAGAGACCCTTCTGGAGCACAATCAGCCTCTATAAAGTGAGTAACTTTACTTTAATAATTAATTAAGAGGAGAAAACTGGAGTTTGAGCATGATCTCAAATCACCTCCATGCACAATTGTTGACCAAGAAATAGTACTTTCCCTAAACAGTACTGAACCCAAGACCCTTCCTGAGTTGTAGTGATACAGGGTTTTTGTATTTTATTATTTGTATCTATAAATTATTTATTTACAACAATTATTCTTGTAAATCCACGTTTGTTGAAACCACGAAGGCCGAGTGAAACTATCACACGCATGCTCGCGGCAATCTATGGGATTCTAATTGTCTTCGAAATAAATCAAGGTTAAGTGATATTCTGTTTTTATGTTCTTATAAGTTCAGGATTTTTTATCATTGACAGTCTCTATTTAATTTAAAAATGTTATTTGTAGAGAAGCTTTCGGTGTCCGTGCTCCATATTTATCGCTATTATAAATCATGGTTTTTATCCCAGATCAGTCCTTATTGACCTACACAAATTAAGTAAATAAATACATGTTTTTCTAAATTACTCAAAGTTGAATAAATCTAGACAATAATCTCATTAGAAATGTTTAACAATAAGGCAGACCCGGAAGCCTTAAAGACACCCGAGACGGTAGAAAGTAATACCAACAACCTTCCGATAACTGAAGCGCAAGCCTCCGGTGTGTGACCGCATATCGGGTAACAACAGTGACTAGAGACAGTGTCTCTACACAGCTCAGTGATGTCCTGTAATCAGGGCGGGTTGAGAAAAGTAGAGGCGCAAAGCGGTTAACATTTTGGGGCGCAAGCTCCAAAAATATTTCGATTTAGAGGCAACAAATTTAATAATTACTTTAGCTTTTTCCAATAATTTTATGGACGTATCTTTTTTTTTCTCCAAAACCATCTGACATATGCATCATAATCTATCCATTTAGGCCGCGCGCCAGTTGATTCGTCCCTGCAAGTGATATCCAATCGCTGCTCCCGTTCCTCCTCCATGCCTAATACTTCTTGAACACGTACCAACTAACATCTAACCAAGTTATTTTTTCCCCTAACCTGACAATAGGACGCTGAAATGTAGTCTGTTTGATTCAAAGATATCTGAAATTTAAATCATCAAAAACCATATCAGATAAAATTTAATTGAAATTTTAATTAGTAAAACATATTTTATGCAATATGTTGTACAACAGATATAACTCTAAAATTAAAAAAATTAAAGTTTGAAGAGTAAAGGTCGTTTTTACAATGCTTTATCTCAATCATAAATTAACTGGGGGCCTCTAATAAATGGCTTAAGAAAGGATACTTACTTCCCGAAACTGAAGGGTTTATTTTGGCAATACAAAACCAGGTAGTATCCACCAATGCTTACAAAAAATATATATGTGGAGAAAATGTAAGTGACCGATGTCGCTTATGTAGAAATGCAATAGAGTCAATCCAACATATTTCGTCGGGATGTCAAGTATTGGCAGGTAAAGAACATCTGATGAGACACAATAACCTGGCTAAAATTGTTTACCAAGCCCTGGCCTCATTAAATAGCATAACAGATGAGGATCCTTATTATCGATATGAGCCCAAACCGGTGCTGTCGAAAGAAAAGAAAATAATATATTGGGATCGATCTATAATTACAGACCACCACACGGTAGTAAATAACAAACCGGATATTGTATTAATTGATCGGAAGAAATAAAGTGGGTGTCATTGATATGGCGGTCCCAACCAATGATAATATCGAGAAGACTATTTCTGAAAAGATTAGGAAATATCAAGACTTGTGCCAAGAGCTTCAGCAACTTTACAAACTGAATCAAGTCTAGGTATATCCAATTGTAATTTCCAGCAATGGCCTCATCCCAGACGTTACCATTCGCTCTGTCGAAAATTTGAAGCTGCCAGAGGAAATGTTGGAAAAAGGGCAAAATGCAGTTCACCTAGGCACAGAGAACATCGTCAGGAAGTTGTTAAACATAGTTTAACTTTTGAGTCTAAAACTTGACCTTGGTCCAGGTAGGTGATTATTTCTGGCAAAAGCCAAGAAAGTGTGAAATTCATAAATAACAACAATTTTCTTTAGTCCCCCGACAGATATAAAGTTTACAACTAAAACTCAACCGAAGTCTTTTATGCAATAAAAATATTATGTAAAGATATTATATAATGTGTATAATATTATCGATACTTTATTCTAATATGAATTTAGAAAAGTAAAATCTCATGATAGCACAAAAATGAAAAATTGTGAATTTTGGAGTAATATCTGGCTTCTCTAAAAGTAGCAATAAATAAAAATGTATATTTCTTTGCAAAGGTCTCTCAGGAGCACATCCAGAAATTTACTATAAAATGACGCAAAATAATAATAAATAAATATAAAGGAAAGGAGCTAGAAGGGTGCAAGGAGATATTAGTGGTAGATTTATTGCCAATCAACCGAGTAACTTTTAGCGATCCGATTCGGCCTTAAGTGAAAAATGTCGACTATTATAAAACTATATGGAAGGAAAAGGAATTGCATGGAAGATTTGATCATTAATTACATGAGCTGATTGTTTTTTGATCATTAATTGATTTGATCATTAATTACTGATTGATAACGAGTTCTCAGTCGAATGGCTAAAGACAGGGCAAATATATGGGGAGACAGAAGGATTTTTATAGCTATTTAAGATCAGGTTATTGCAATCAGGGCTTATAGGAAACAAATATTAAAAGAAAATTTGGTCATGGATAAAAGTCTGTTTTGCTCTAAGGCGTATGAATCTATGCAAAATGTAATCAATGGCTGTAATACTTTGCCGGGGATGGAATACCTGATGAGGCATAATAATGTCGCAAAGATATACCAACAAAGTATATGAAGAACATTTGGACAACTGGGCGATGATGAGGTATTCTGCTATCGATATACCCCAGAAAATCTTAAAAAAAATAGAAATATAAAATTTTACTGAGATCAAAATATAATAACGGGCCACAGAGTAAAAGCAATTTCTATACATAGCTAGCCCATCTTAAACTCCTTTCCTTCATATCATGATATTGATTCAACCTTCTGTAAGCAGTTCTTCATTGGTCTTTCTTGTCCATGCATTTGTAGTATGATCCCCGATCACTCCGGCAGAAGATTTCCCTTTCAAACCTTTTAATACTTCTTTTTAAGGTGCTGGTTATTAGTTACATATATTACTTAAATATCACATATTATAACTAGTAACATAGTTTCTGGATCATGTATGATTCTTTCGTCTTTATAATCAAGCGGAATGAACTTCATAATATAATTTTTTTATCATAGTATTAACTTGTTTTGTCCTCCTCTTCATCGCCTTTTAGGTTATACGGGTACCTTCTTGCATCTTGCGCACTCAGTCTTGGTCTGGTCTTGATCATTTGCTAGAGTCTCACAATTATCTGGCTAGATAGATTACTACTATTTATTAAAAATGTTACTTTAGAACTTGGAAAAACAGGACAAAGTTGGTTCAATTAGAGATTATATTGGCACAAGCATAATAAAGTCTAACCAAGTTGATAAAATTAAAGGCATTGTCAGGAAAGATAGTGTCAGAGCCCCTCTTAGATGGAATGGAAGAATAGTAGAGTAAAGACAATCTATACAATGATATCAATTATATAAATAAAAATATGGTGTGTCCACTCACACGACTTTCCTACCGATTTTAAATAAATTTTTACAATTTTAAATATAGCCATTAATAAAAACACAGTTGAATTAAATTAACTTTCCTTAAAACCAATCAGAGAAATGATTATAGTACAATTACTTTATGAACTAAAGCAATGTAAACCGGCAAGTGAACGATTATTAAAATCAGCCTATAAAATCCAATCCACTGTAAGTTTACTAAAAATGGTCCTGCTTAGACGATTTTGAATTTTGTCGGAAATTTAATAATCTTTCAAAAAATAAGCTAAAATATGGGGGCTCTGAAACGTAAAGATCCTCTAGAAACCAATAGGATGTATACTTTGTGAGTTAGCCCCAAACCATTGTTCTTTTCGTTATAACTTTTTCTCTTGAATTTTCTCGGGAAAGCATTATATGTACGAAAATTGAAAGGACAATAAGTAGACGATTATAGGAAAGTTTCATCTAAATCGTTAACCAATTTTTGCGATTCAGTCTATTGAAAAATAGGTTTTTCTCTTATTGTGGATCTGCTAACTGCAGGGAGCGCCCAATATTTTCACAGGAATCTGTTATCAAAACCCAACAAAAGAAAAGATAAGCCAACTTGATCGGCCCACACATTTTCTAGTGGCTCAGGCACAAGGAGTCAGACAGACCAATGGCGGAAAATGAGAGAGGTCTTAAACGTGAAGATCCGTTGAAAAGTGCATATTGGAAATTTGACCCGATCGCAATACTTTCCCTACTATACATTACATATTTAAGTAAGTGAAAGTATAAATACAACATAAATTAAATTAGAGTACAATAGCTTTGATGTATATAATACATCTGCTGATGTATATAATACAGCTCTGATCTGCCAATAGTACCGATTTGCTCCAAACATACCAGTAAATTAACGTTAAATTTTGACTTGTGTCAAACTTTCTTCGGAACAAGTGATACACATTACGGTAGATAAATTGATACAAGTTATGGCTGTTACTTAATGTAACGGTGACATTTAGTTTACCATACTATTCATCCGTTTCTAAAGTAATCTCATGAATGGCTAAATTACTTACGAAAGTAATCAAGTAGTTCTTCAGACCCATTTCGTTCTAATTCTGACTCAGTATCATAAATTGTGTCCAAAATAGTAAACGCTTTTATTTTTAACTCTTTTTCCCGAACAGCCAGATCGGTAATTATAAATGTTCGGTAAGTACATATCTCGGCGTTCTGTTGACATTTTTCATATGTATTTTTTTTTATTATGGGTACACCTGTAGCCAATAATAATTTGCATATATTTATCGTTTACTGCTTTTATTAAACAATTAATGCATTAGATTAGTATGTATGTGGGATTGTTTAGGAACCTACTTTTTACCCGCAATACACCAAAACACATAAACACTAATCGATACAGGATTGAAAATGCTGTTCGGAAATATTTCAATGCGTTGCTAAGTTATGACACACGCCGTCATATGTTATTTAAAATAATACCTAAGCCAAAAATTATTTTCTTTTAATGCTAATAAAAATCCATTGATTTTATTCACCAGACTGTGTCAATACTATGTTAATTTTTGCAGTTCATACTTCTAAGCCAGTTTTGTTTAGTTTCGCTGCAGGATATTTCCTAAAAAATACTTTTGGGCTGTATCATAGATCACCGAAAGGGGTAAGGGTATAAGTACTTTACATCCCTTTTAAAACCAATGGATCCCTAATCCTATCTTGGGATTTCGGGAATGTTTCAAATGTACAAAATGTTTCAGGGTTAAGTAGCCAAACTGAAAATATGAACTAAGGGCCTCAAAACGTGATTCAAAGTGATTTCCTTGAGCATTAGGACACGTTCAGCATCTTTCTTTAATAGCAGCTGTGGCAGAACGGTACTGGATATGTGTTATTTTTTCACAAGATTCAATTATCCTTCTTCGTAAGGAATTAAGGTAAGGGCTGGACTTGATTGACTTTTTGTTTAATGTCACTTCAAACAGCGTTTGCGGACATACCTCAAGATGAAATTTTTTTCATGTTTTGAGGTCCTTAGTTCATATTTTCAGTTTGGCCACATAACTCTGAAAAACCCTGAATACAACAGTATTTTGGCCACTCTTCGAGACTTTATGGTTCTTATATTCTTGCCCTTCTGAAAAAAATATAGATTTATAGCAGTGCAGGCCTTAGGGTGGGGCAACCGGGGAATCGCACCAGGGTGCCGATTTGGAGAGGCGCTCGTTAGAGGCCCCAGGCGATTTTCATGGGCGCTCGTCGCTTGTTAGGAATAAAAAAAAATACGAAACGATTTAAAATAATTAATTTTAACTTATCAACAAAGCAACTGTTCTAGAAAAACGTTGAATTAAATAAAATTCAAATATTGTATTATATAAAAAAGATTAAAAAATAAATTTAATTTTTCTAGAGAGGAGAACAGATGACGTCATTGCCCGGGAGCTAAAATGACCAATACATATTTATTTGGGGGCGGGGTGGCCGAATGGGCTAAAGCGTGTGCACAGCACCGCGAGTTGCCTGGCAACCGGATTACAGATTTGAGAAGATTTAAAAAGTACGAGTTCGCGTCCCGTTGCCGGAGGGGATTTTAAATTCCCCGCCCTCACCCCCCGGCCCGCGAAAATCCCGTATAGCCTAAAATGGCAAGGTAGAAAAGAACAAAAAAAAAATACATATTTATTTATTGAAATATTATGACTAAATTAAGTTCGTAGAAACCAAAGAATTAAATTGTACTTACAATTGTTGAAAATTCGAATCACTTCATTTAACACCAAATAAATACTAAATTAAAATGCTACTAAAGCTTCCTAGTTCTTATCACATTGATAGAACATGACAAAAATGGAGAACGATAGGGTTGGGGATTTTTCAGAAATTTTGTACAACTCAACAGCTCCTCTAAATTGATTTAAAGGGTTGAAAATTTGTACATAAATTAAATTTGTGTTGAAGAAATTGAAGCCTTTACAAATAGAAACTTTTTTTACTTTCACTTACAGTAAAAAAAAAAAAAAAAATGAAGTCGATGAAAGTAAAACATGATCTTAAGACGAAAATTTTATCACAATGACAAGATCTGCGTAGAAGGGAAACCGTTTTCAAGCGTAGACATTTTCAAATACATCATTTCAACAATAACCTCAATGATTAATGATTAACTGTCAGAAATAAAACAAGGTATAACAAGCGTCAACAAAGCTTCCCCCTCTCTTTCGATCGAAAGGGATCGAACATCCTGAAAACCTCTAGAAATCTAATATTGAGCGTCTATGCTATGATAACGACAGTTCTGATTGCAAGACAAAAAGTTGTGAGGACTAGACACTAACTAGAAACCTGCAAAGAAGTATTGAGAGATTTGTGATGATAATCTTCAGCACAATAACCGAAGTAAAAAGCCTGCAAACAGTGAGACCGATTGCAGATTAAGGAGAACAAAATTCATTGAGCATAATTTTCGATTGGAAATCACCTATTTGTCACAAATAAACGTTTTATAGCCATAATTAAATCATCTTAACTTAAATTTGTGGCTAAAACTTAATCTTTAACAAAATAAAAGTTATTAATAAAAAAACTAACAATAATATTAATTAAAAGAAAAGCATTTATTTATCATTTCACTACCATTCCTTTCGGCTACACGAGATTTTGTAGAAATGGCATATCACAAACGTGCATGTCTTCCTGCTATTTTTTTTTTTTATTAATTGATATTTAACTGTATTATAAAAAAAAAATACAACAATACAACTAGTAAATGTGCACTCAGGGACATACTAACATGAAATATCTTGTTGAGAAACTACCCACTGAAAGCATTCAAATAATAAATTTACACAAGAAGATCACGAGACCACCTTCTTTTCAGACGACTCGGAGGGTTATCATGGATGGAGGAAGAAGCAAGGTTTGAAACGAGAGGATTCGGATGGTTCTGCAGTTTGTTATGAAAGGATAGGTATCTGGATTGGGTCAAATCGGAAACATATGGAACACTAAAGTCATTATGGATGGATTTATTTGTAACGAAGTAGGGAAAATTGAGGATTTTACGAAGGATTTTGGATTGTAAGGATTGGATACGAGAGGAATTCGATGGTTTAGTGGAGCCCCAAAGCTCAATTCCGTTGTCCAAATAGGTCTTATTATTGTCATATATATTACTCGAGTCGTTTGGAATTGATTTAAAGCTTAGAATGTTTGTCTAGTAAGTGTTGGAGTAGTTGGAAATATCGAGCGGTTTCGTGTCGTTTCAGTCTTATATGAGCATTCCATGTCAGCCGTTTGTCCAGGTGAAGTCCTAGGTAACGGATTTGTTCAACTGGGATAAGTGGAGAATTGTTAAAGGATACTGTAGGACAGGAGGTCATAGGTTTGCGACGCAGGGTAAAGGTAATTTGATGGGATTTATTGGAATATATTTTAATTCTCCAGTTTTTACACCATTCTTCGATGTTTGTGAAATGTTGTTGGAGAGTTTGGGGTGCAGTTGATGGATCATTATTGACAGATAGGAAACATGTGTCATCAGCATACGTGGTGATGACTGTGTAAGGATGGGTTGGGATGTATAAACTGTGTAAAGGATAGGACCAAGGATACTACCTTGAGGAACATCAGCAGACTAGGAAAAAAGGGATGAATAAGAGTTTTTGTGATTTACTTTAAAGCATCTATCAGTAAGGTAAGACAGAATAATGAGGAAGTATGTAGGTGGTAGGAATTTACGGATTTTTTACATCAGTCCCGGGTGTCAGACCCTATCAAACGCCTGTTTAACGTCGAGAAAGGCGCCCGTGCAGTACAATCCGCGCTCCAATGCAGAGGGGACTATGTCCACAACATGATGACATTGCTTGATAATGGAATGAGATGTGCGGAGTCCAAATTGGTGTTCTTGCTATTAAACAATGGATATTTGAACAATTTTTTGTTTTTTGAAAATCTCTTCTGTTTCCTTCATATTCTTTCCACCATGAGAATTTATCAATCAGGAAACCTAAAAGAGCCTCGGAACTTAATAGTCAAAAACTGGAATGTCCTCTCTACAGACCAGGAGCACTGAAATTGCTGTTAGAACACATTGACAAATATTATTTGGACATTACTGCCATTCAGGAAATCCGATGGACTGGTCAGAAAATCATCGAAAAAAAAAAAAAAAAACGTCACACTATTTACTACAGTGGCAGTGAGAGGACTCATGAATATAGCACAGGATCTGTTATAAAAGAAAGATGTCCACAACAAGTAAAAGGGTTCAGGGCATTTTATACATCCAAGGAACATTTTATAATTATTCCATTTTAAGTGTGCATGCCCGCACCGATTTTTTAGGAAGAATGTGAAAAAGAAGCTTTTTATGAACTTTTGGAGAGAACTGTGGATGACTGTCCACAATGATATGAAAATCATCGCAGGTGATTTCAATGCAAAAGTAGGCAAGGGAACAATACTTCACCTAACAATAAATAAACATAGACTGCACGAATCAAGTAATGACAACGGCGTAAGGCTTTTAAATTTTGCTACCTCTCGTGATCTTACAATCGGTAGTACTCTTTTCCCTAATAAGAAAATCCACAAGAGAACATGGAAAACACCTGAAGTGTCGACACTGGACCAAATCGATCATATCCTTATCGATAGGGGGCAGAGGTCCAATCTCCTAAACATCGCTCGTTTCCGAGCACGGATAGAGATTCTACACATCTGTGCTATTATCTCCCGAATAATCCTTTTCCATTTGCTTGGGTCTTCTGCAATCCTCACCCGAACATTCTTCGGAAGACCTGTTGAACTTTCTCTTTTAAAACTCAATATCAATGAGTCTTCTCGCAGGAGAAGATCGAGAGGTACTCCACCTGGTAATACACTGAAACAGAGCTGTAGGTTGAATTGACGCCAAGCTGCATTTCTGACGATGTGAGAGCTTCTGAGACCACGCAGGATAGGCGTACCTCAGAATACCCAATATAATTCCATTGTAAATGTTCCTCATAGCTGGATATCTGAGGCCCCAAAATGCATCCTCTAGGCGACTACGGCCGTTCAGCGCAAGGGCTAAACTATTTCCTAAGTAGCCCAAATGAGAGGTCATATTAAATCCTCTTGCAAATCTTACCACCTCAGTATGCCGTAATCTCGTTCACTGTATATATAGATTGATAGTGTGTACCCTATCCATCTTTCCGTTCTCCAGGATCGCCAGGCCATCGTTTATAAAAAGAATAGGAGTATGGAAGTATTAAAATTTATTTAATCTATTACCTCAACCTTATAATCATCATTGTACAGTTCACTCTCCGAGTGAAGTCCTAATTGCTTCCTAAGTGTAATTTAAATTTCCCGTTTATTTCCTTCGTTTTTTTCTATCTTTGTCTAGACAGTCTGAAAATATTTACATTTTTCAAAAATCAATTACCCCGGTAAAAATGTGTTCTCACAAGATTTTGTTGAAGCAACTTCTACTATACAGGCCCCCCTTTTTTTTTTCCCCCTGTCCTCCCCTTTCTCGCCTTTGTGGCTATACGGGGTTTTCCCGGGCCAGGAGGTGTGGGTGGGGATTTAAAAGACTCCCTCGGCACCGGGACGCGAACTCATGACTATTTTAAATCCATTGTCTCAATATATCTGGTTGCCGGGCAACGGCGGTGCTGTGCACACACATTAGCCCGTTCGGCCACCCCACCCACAATACAAGCCCCTTCTAGGACTAACTACTGTATCATATCCTATACTTTCCGCTAATTAGTTCTTCGAAGCAAACAAAAAACATCAATCGGCCTCTATGCTCCCTCGAAACCTCGAGAAGACTGGTCGTTGTTATCAATTGTTATCAGATCTAGAAAATATGCTTCAATTATGACACATGTCTTTTTAAAAAAATAGTAATAATAAATAAATCATTTTCTGAGCATTTATCCGAAGCTCATTTATTTTTTATGTAAACAGGACTACATTGTCTTTCAAATCTGTATAAATTTTATTATATAATTCATAAGGTTAAAAGATTAAATTAAGGTCATAAGATTAAAAAAAATTTATCTAAAAAAGTTTAGTTTACGTTTTCAGAAATGATCGGCGATCAAGAACAGAAACTGGTCAATCAATATGTTATGATATAAAGGTAAGGAGGTTAAGATTATAGTTGGGACCAATCCATAAAGAATCCTTTACACGACAATGAATGCTTAAATAGTAGAGACACCACATGGGAGACCAAAAGCCATCTACATAAATCGAACTAACAAATGCGCTATTAAGCTTCATGCAGAAAACTTGAAAGCTGTCAGGGATCGGAAAGGCTGATTCAAGCTGATCTACAAGATCAGGAAAACAAAAAAAAGTTATTTTCCCACCAAACATTAAATTTTAAATCCGCTTCTACCTGAAACTGATTTGATGTGATAAGAGAATGGTAACACTGCTATTTTGTATTGGTAAGGTTCGACAATGAAGGAAGAACAAGTTTCGTTTAAAAAATAAATATAATATTTATTAATATTCTTAATATGAATCAACTCACAAACACTAAAAAAAACAAGATAGACTGCATCTAAAAACGTATTATTATAACCAACTCTTTTAAATGTTCGATTAATATTACTGAGGAAAACATTTTCCTTGAAACTTTTAGAAATTGTTTGTAAGGCTAATGGCTGAATTATTGAATTTTGTTTCTTTGTAAAATGTTAAACTGAAAGCCTTACGTGTTCAATCTTTAGAAATTGTTTAAAGTTTCATTTAACAGGCTATTATTAACGGTTTAAAATGTTTAAGATTCATAAAAAAATTTCCTGGATTATCTTGACGAGATTATAATTACAAAAAATAATAATAAAATCGGTTATTCAACTGTAACACATATGGATTCCCTACATTTTTGAACAGATCAATCGTCAAATATAATCCAAAATATTGGCTAATTGTTTAAGTAACATTTCTTTTATTAAAATACGAGGTCAATTCCTAAATGAGCCGAGGATAGAGTAACAAAACTAACCTTGGCCTCAAGACAAATGCTGACAAAGCATCACAAACCCCGTCTTTATAAACCTTACCATCTTATTTTACCAACTCGCAGTTGTATCCCGCAAGCGTCACGCTGACCAACTCAGGTGGGTTAACAATCAATTTTTTAGTTGTATTTTTTTTTAATTAATGTGGTTTGTATTCAAATTATCTTTGGTTATGTATTAAAATAATTTTTCGGATAGTATGTATCTAAAATAAGAATTCAACTCAAAGATGGAAAACGCAATTGATAAATCAATTATTAATCCCAAAGGTTGTTACAATATTCTTCTAGCTAATGCATCCCAATAGGTCCTTCGAATGAATTATTCTGTAAATTTTTATTTTTAAAAAACATGGTGTAGTAAATACTTAAGCAACAAATTTTTTTTAAAATTCAACTTACCTCAGCGTATATTTTTTTAATATTTCTAAAATTTTCATCGTAATTGCAACGCAGAAATTCATTATTTTTTTTTAATTTAATACAGAAATTCCGATTTACACAGGGAAAGCATAACTAGAGGGGGGAAAAAACCATCAGCTGATTCAGAATTTAATATTTTTCTAAATAAGTGTAGGCATTAGCATTAAAAACCACAAGATATTGTGACTGTTAAAGTATTTGTCACACATTATTTATAGAAGCAAATATGGATTAATGAAAGTACACTTTTTTTTTTTTTTTTTTTTTGTGGAGAGTGGCAATTAGGCCAGTAAGTAGTAGTATAATTTTGACATGACATTATTTTAAGTTCTTAATACATATGTAATTATTCTTGCATTTTCTTTTTAATATTATATACCATTTTATTTATCTTTCTTTTTTTTTTTTTGTTATTCATTAGCACTCATTTTTTTTCGGCCAAATATATATGATAAAATTCAATTTAACCACATCTCAAATACTGTTAGTATTTTGGCACACAATTTTACATAGCCTCAAAGATCAGGTGCATTAATATACAGAGAATTACAGCTACAGAAAATAAAATTAATAGCTATATATTCATAAAAATTTTATTATATTTTTCTGAGTCAGGATGCAACAATGGACACTTATGGTTCACTGCTTGGCGGCAGTGACCTGTGTCTGGGCACTGAAGGAAAATGATCTTGAACCTGTCAATTGGGTCGGAGGAGTTACCATAATGCATCCTGGGAAGAAAGTCAATAATGGTCTAGCGACAAGAGCTCAGATTTTCAAGGACAATGTTTTTATATGTGTTCCAAGGTGATTAATTACAACTTAATTTATTTATAAAATAATTGTGGATTATAAAATTTAAATAAATATATAATTTCAAATCTACCAATTAAAAATTTCATCTAATGCTTTATCTTCCAGATTTAAATCTGGTATTGAAGCTACCCTTCTTAAAACATGTATGAAATCAAAGGACCATGATGGAAATGTATGCCTAGAACCTTTCCCTAATTGGAAGGATCAAACTGAAGGAGACTGCAGTTGCCTACAGTCAGCAATAGATTTGTTCTTAGATCCCACTGGCTTATTATGGGTCCTTGATGCTGGTTCTGCCCAAACAAATGAACCACAGATAGTACAAAAATGTCCACCTAAAGTTGTAGCCTATGATGTCAGAACTGGCAAGGTAAATACAAGTTATTTTATTTATTTTTTTAGTTCAACAAAATTTAGAATGTTCAACCAAGCTGAAAATTTGTATATATATATATATATATATATGTAAATATATATATATATATATATATATATATATATATATATATATATATATATATATATATATATATATATATATATATATATATATATATATATATATATATATATATATATATGTAAATATTTATTTTTTTTTTTTGTTAACAGATAATAAAAGAGATAATTTTGTCAGCATTCATCAGCCCAGAATCAAGACTTCAGTTTATCGTAGCAGATTATTCTGTTGAAGGTAGTTGTTTTATCTATGTGAGTGATGCTGGAACAAAATCCATTATTGTCTACAATGTAAATGCAGAAAAAGGTCATCGCGTAATTTTACCACCAGAAGTCATTCAAGACTCAGCCCCAAAAGACGTGCTATATATGTTATTGATAAGGAAAGCCAGAAGGGATAACTTTGTATACTTCACATATAGATCTGGAGAAGATGTTTTTGCTGTTAATGCTCGAAGTCTTCAGTTTGAGAATGCACCAATAAAATCTTTTAATGTAGGTAAGAAGTCAAAGAAGCTTATTTTCCTTGGAACAGATGATTGGGACTGCATTTATTTCCGATATGAGAATAAAACAGAAGTTTACAAATGGAATACTTCTAAACCTTTCTTAGAAGCAAATTTCCAGCTTGTAGATAATGTGAAAAGTGAGCTTATCCCAACCCATGCCATGACAGACTACAACAGAGGTGTTATGAGACTAATAAAATCTAATCTCCCACATTATATCGACAATGGAACAAAACAAGGAGAAGCTATTAACAGTTTGGTAGTTATGCAGTTAAACTAATATGAATTATAATAATTTATTTCTTAATTTATGAAATAGATATAATGTATTTAATTTATTTAATGTACATAAAATGATAATTTTGTAAATAAAGTATTTATTGTTTTCCTTCTATGTGTTTAATTTATGTAATTTTCCTCAGAGCTATATCTGAAGAGTAAGGAATTAAAATAAACAAGTTTAAAACAATGATTTATAAATGAGATCATGCACCTAGCAACTTTATCTTAAAATAAATAATTAGGTAATACAAGATAGTTAAATTTGTTAATTTGTGTTAATTCTGCACAAAGTTGACTTAGGTAATTTGATCAAAAAATAAAGTACTCACATTTGTGATTGCAGTAACTTCCTACTTAATTTTCAGTTTTTTTACGTTAATAGCTTTGCATTTTGAATTCAAGTTACACCCTATGGATCCAAGTATTGTCTAGGGCTAATATGTGTTACAAATAAAGATAATGTATTCATTTTATTCATTCATTCATTTCATTTATGTAAATGTATTCATTCACCTAGCAACTTTATCTTAAAATAAATAACCAGGTAATATGAGATAGTTAAATTTGTGTTAATACTGCACAAAGTTGATTTAGGTAATTTGATGCAAAAATAAAATACTTACATTTGTAATTGCATTGATTTCCTACTTAATTTGCAGTTTTTTAAAGGTAACAGCTTTGCATTTTAAATTCAAGTTACACTTTATGGATCCAAGTATTGTTTAGGTATAATATGTGTTACAAATAAAGAAAATGTATTAAAACAGATATCAATTTCATATGTCGTACACAGCTCTATGTGAAATAATGGAACGTAGTTTACAGTAAGTTACTTTTGACTAACAAGTAACTAAACTATTGGTAACATCAATAACTTTCCACCATTAAGTTTAGAAAAAATTACAAAATTTTACTCGTAGCTATATTATGAGTACAAGACTGAAACAATGAGTAAAAAGGAAGTAATTGAAGTAAGGTTTTATGAGTACAACACTGAAACAATGTGTAAAAAGGAAATAATTGAAGTAAGGTTTTAAGAAGAAAAAAGTTGGCATTGGTATTTTACACTTTGGAACCCTTATATATAAATCTTTTAGTAATAAAAAAAAAAAACATTTGATTTAAATGTTGGTCTTCCTGGGCTTTATAATTTTTTTCTGAAAACTGTGGAAGCTTCAACATGATTCCATCAATACACACAAAACTAAGCAGGGACTAAGTATGCCATAGTTTACCCAAAATGATTGCGTAAAGGAATGGAGGCATAATTCAGATTGGAATATTTGAGTTTTTTTTTATTTTATTCCTTATAAAATTAAAAGTTAAATTGAAAAGCATCTGACATGGGTTGGAAAAACATTAATTCAGCTGGCCAACATTTCTAGGTAATATCTGTATGCTCTATATTAAACAACATACAAATTATTAACAAATATCAAATGTAACTTTATCGTTACATTCTGAATATAAACTTCTGTATATATGTCAAAGTGGTTGATATAATCAAGATTCAATATATAAATATCATTAAACTTTAAAATAAGTTTTACGATTTGATGTATATGATAATTAGGTATATAAAAAGCAACTTGTTGATATATTTTTTTTTGGTTTTGTTTAATAATCACGCCGAGAAATTCAATAATACAAATGATATAAGAAATTTCTTATAACTAAGACAGCACTTACAGCTATTAAAAATATAACGCAAAGTTCTCATAAGGAGAAATCCTGAATTATGTAGTTGGCAACCAAATCAGATTTCTGTGTAGCAGACTTGTATTCAACTTGAAAAAATGAAGAGTCATTAAAGACCAACAGAAGCCATCTGTTTTTCACCTCAGAATTGAATTAGTTTTAAATGAATATTATCTATTTTGAAACATTTTTGTTTTTCTAAAAAGAAGTGCAATCAACTTTACAAGCCTAGCTCACAAAAATCATTTTAACGATTGTACATATAATTATCTTGTTTATTCTGTAGTTTAGACAAAATCAACTTTTTAGAACTTTCAATTTAAAACAAAATATCATTAGCATTTATTCTACAACACGCATTATGCAAAAACAAAAGAAATCATACTCGTGAATATTTATTAATTTAAAATAATTACTTTAAAAATACATCATACTAAAATCTAATCAATTTACATTGTCAAAAAGTAGTTTATTTAATGATAAAACTCATTTTGTTTTTGAACAATTTCATATTGAGCAAATAGATACAAATATTAAAATTTATCCTATATTAAATAATATTCTCTGTTTGTTTAGAATAAATGAACTTTAAAATAATAAATAGTCAATGAACTAATCACAAACTCTAAGCTAAGTAATGTTTTTTAATTTAAACTTAGATTGGTCAACTTTAATGAATTTTATGAAAATTTATTTATTCTAAAATCAATTTCAATAAATAACAGACCGAAATCACAACCTTAATAGTTAGTGTTTCTTTGAAATTACTTTATAATACTGGACAATAATTTACAATATAAAAACAAATTGATGTATTTTATTTTTTAAGTAATTATTTACTTTCAGTTTCTTATAATGCAAAATTTGCATAGATAATGTAATGAGCTACACTAACATCATGCAACTCTATTTAGAAATACACAGAGATACATTTGGAACGTAAATACATCAAATGAACCTAAAATATTAACACGTAATTACAGACCTAAAAAATACGTAAATACATCCAACAGCTCAGCATGCTTAAGAATGAGAATTCCATTTCTATTTTAGATCAAACCAATGAGGAAAACAATCCTAAAGGTACTGGAATTGAACCCATATCCTGGGTTTGCAGTCATAGAAGCTAATCACTAAACCACAGATATGGTCATGAAAAACAGAAAGCTAATCATTATTACCAAAAATATATATAATTTCTCATTTATTTGTTTTTCCATATCTGATATCAAACAAAAAAATGTCCACAGGAATGTCAAACATAATTGATGAGATTGTTTAAAACTAAAACTTGAGAAGAAATTAAATCAAAATTATTTATGGTTTAAATATTGAACAGAAAAGAGGATTATTAACTTGAAAAAAGTTAATTTTGTCTAAAGTTCTGTTAATTTCAAGAAGTATTATTTTTTTTTAAATTTATTATAAATATAACTAAAATAATGCACAACCAATTTTGTTGGAAACAAAGTCAGTCAAGAAATCCAATAGTTTCATACAGAGAATGAGCAATAAACACATTCATACCAAATTTTATATAAGTTTACAATATATATAAATATATCTACACAAAGTACAACAGTAAGGAGATATTTTACATTGGTAAAATCACAAATATCTCGGATGTTTAATTGTAAAATTTAAGATAGTATATTTTTTTCTTCTGAAACTAGTATCAGCAGTTTACCTTAAATACATACATCTGCCTTATCTCACTTTTCATAGATACAATGTAAGTTTCATTTTTATTTATTTTGTTTGTCAATGTTTATCAATTATAAAGAAAACCAAAACCTACATATTAATTTATTACTGGTATTGTATAAAACTAAATGTAAACAGTTGCTTAGAAAAAGAAAGTAATCAATTAATTCACACTCAAAATGAAAAATTCAATTTTTTGTTTTTTTTATTTTAATTTGGTACATATCATATTAAAAACTGACCAGTTATTTTTATTTTAATTAAATATTTTAAAGGGTTGCAATATGAAAATTAATTTTACAAAAATTTAATTTATTTTGACTATCTTACTATGACTTAATTTTATAAACACTACAAACATACATGTACTAAATAAAAAGAATAATAATAAAAAAAAATTAAAGTCTACAATAAATTAAAATGTGTGATTGCAATAATGGATAACTTCTACAAATTGACATTTTTCTATTTATAATATCATTGGTAACAATAAATCCAATATGAAATTACCATTATTTTCCATAAAAGAAAAATAACATTTTAAATTATTCTTTATAATTTTATCACATTTTAATTTTTTTGCTCAACCAGTGAGCCATAAGGTAATTAACCATATTGAATGTGATACAGATTACGAAAAGATATAAAATTCATATAAAAGATGAAACATTCGCTTAATTAACTTCAAAAGCACCATGACAACATACGCACTTTTCTCTTTACATGTTAAATATGAAAAACCTATACTAGCTATATAACAATACTATGTTATCTTTGGCTTTAAACATCTGCCGATTTTTTTTATTCATATTTATTTATACATAAATAATTCTATACATATTTTAACTAACTGTTCCCTAGTTGAATATTATAAAATATTCAGCATAAAAATGTTATCTTGGGGAAAAAAAATCCAGAAAGTGACTTGTTCTCTCAAAACTGCTCAAAACTATATTGAAGAAAAGTTTGAAAAAAATTAAATTGATTTTAGCATCTCCAAATCACTCAACATGTTAATTTTTTGGTAAAAGAAAAGTATAATTAATCTCCAAAGGCTGGTAATTCATAAGCATCAAGAAAATATCAAAATAGAGACTAATTATATAAATATTTAAGTTTGATTATAAGAACAGTTTCTAGATACATTTGTTCTTTCATCAAAATCACAACAAAAAAAAAATTAAAAATCATGTGAATTTTAATTTTTTTATTATTCAAAGGTTAATCAATTCTTCTATTCATAAATGTTTTGACAAATTAATTCATCACAAAAATAAATTCATAAAGAGCAATTGATTGGGTAACAATAATAACATAATTGTCATTTTTAAAGATTAAATCATATTGCTGCCTAAATATTCAATTTGTCATACAATTTAATATCATATTAAAGAGTATAATTTTATTTGAGCCTGATTATTAAAAATATATTTAAAATCAAAAATCAATTTTTCAAAATATTAGAATAGATATGTAATAGGTATAAAATTTGTTGACAGCTCAAGACAAACCAAAACTTTAATGAGGAAATGAGATTAACATTTATTTTTATGATGGAGGGCTAGCTGGTGTCTATTCATACTGAGCTATAAGACTTTACTTACCGTTAC